GTGGTCTCTTTGATTTTTAGTGATTCTATCAGATATGTACCGAGTAACTTTATGAATATTTTTATGTGGAAACGGTGTTCCAACTTCAACAAGGCTATTCAGCTGACACATCTAAATGAATGGCTCGCCGTTATTGTTCATGCTTGCAACTCCATGCTGGCCCATTGTATCTTCTGTTCTTTTATTTGTATCACAAGCTTGTGCAGTGATGTCACCAGTTACACAAAATATATCTTATTGAGGAACCTTTGCAAGAACCTTTGCAAAAATGCTGTTGAAGGCTGGTGTGAAACTGACCTTTATCTTATCCTTCGTGGTCACAATTAGGTGCATAGCATTGCATTATTGAGATCTTGAAATTTCTTGTTTAAAACTTTGCTCTAAATAATCTATGATTTATACGTTCCATCTCAGAAAAAGTATTGGTTGCTGTGTCAGTTAATATGACACTCACTCCGTATCGCAGACTCTTTGGTGGTCCTGAGTATGACAGCATTCTGTTTTCTTTTCTAAAAAAAAAAGCAAACAATCTTTCCGTGTCTTGGTCGTCGTGCTTCTCTCAAGCCTTGTATTTCAAGATGGCAACCGGTCATTTCTTTCATAATTTGAGCAAGTTTGTTTTCTGAAGCATGGTTTTAATGGTACAAGAAAACCAACTATTTTTTCAGACGCATGTTTTCAGAAAAGAACTCTTCGGGCTGTTGATCGTCATAATTGTGCCGTAGGAACTGCTCCCTTCCTCCAAAACATCTATAAGGTTGCGTCTTTTGCTTTTTGCTTCAGTAACAAGGTAATTATTACGAGACGGGTCGTTATAGCCCATAGCCAAACTCTAGAGGAATGTCCTCGTAGGTTTCCGTGGCTGCTTGAGGGGACAAACCACGGGTGTCTGCTGGCCCTTGGGATAAAACATTCTCACCTGCCCTTTGATGTTGGAGAAGTACATCTCCCATCCATTGAATGGCCAGACATTCGCACTAGTTCAATGAGGATAAAACGTTAGTAATGTGCTCCTCGATTCGGCCAATGATCACTTCACTGGGCATGTTGAGGTATTTAATAAGATTAGCAGAACCTCCGAAATTACTCCACTTCGCCCTCTGTAGTCATCGCTAGTTGATCCGCGGCTGCTTATTGGGTATTCGCAGCTATAAACCCCAATGTCCGGAGGACGTCCACTATCCGCCAACTGTGACACCCTGGGTTGGGGATGATCGGCCTAGCTTTACCAACGGTGCTCACCCAATATTGGTGTATATATTCGCCTGGAATACGAGTGCTTTTTCCTTCAAAATTGAAGTTCTAAAATATGCTCCCTCCTCTACCCCCCACCCCCTAATATTACGCATGTGAGATACACTCGTGTTAAAGGCAAGTACGTAGGGTATATTCCAAGTTCTTTGGCAGAGGAAGCTAACGTAGAGATGATCACTGAAAACCGTATGGTTCCCAACAGTACATACCCGAACCGGGCAGATTATAGACAAGAAGTGTAAGGGAAATTTTCTCTCAGATATCGACATCATCTGTGATTTCATTGTCACACTTTTGATAGTTGTTCACCATCATCATCATCATCATCATCATCATCATCATCATCATCATCATCATCATCACCATCATCATCCCCATCATCATCCCATGCTACTGCTGTAATTCCAG